CACCGACATCCCCTCACCACCCCTCCACTACCCATCCGCCTCCACTCCATCCCCTCCACCGCACCATCATCCCTCCCACTGACCCATCATCCTCCCACCGACCCATCGTCCTCCCACCGACCCATCGTCCTCCCACTGACCCATCCCCCTCCCACCGACCCACTGTCCTCCCACCGAGCCATTACCCTCCCACAGAGCCATCGTCCTTGCTGGGCCCACTCATCACTCCAGATGAAGTCTGCAGTGACAGGTCAGGGGCAAATGCTCAGAGCAAGGCCATCTTTTTTTTTCTTTTGAGACAGAGTCTTTCTTGTTCTGTCACCTGGGCTAGAGTGCCATGGCATCAGCCTAGGTCACAGAAACCTCAAACTCCTGGGCTCAAACGATCCTCCTCCCTCAGCCTCCCAAGTGGCGGGGACTATAGGTGTGCACCACTCCTGGCTAACTTTTTCTATTCTTAATAGAGACGGGGTCTCACTCTTGCTCAGGCTGGTCTTGAACTCCTGAGCTCAACAATGTTCCCACCTCGGCCCCCCAGAATGCTGGGACTGCAGCGTGAGCCACCACACCCGGCCATCTCCTGAGAAGCCCGAGTGCTCAGGTCCCCGGCTCCCAGCTTCACCCAGCACCGCCTGCCCGGCCACCCCTGCGCCAGCTGTACCTGAACGGGCACAGCCACCCCTGCCTCACGGCCTCTCGGAGTCCCGTTTCTGCCGACTGTCTGTGTTGAGTGCGGTCGGCTCTTTCCCGGGTATTCGGAAAAACTTTCTTTCTTAGCATGGTTAGTGTCCTGTTGTGAAAATTTAAATAAGAGGAATTCAAGCGTTCAGGTGTCATTGAGGGTGCATGCCAACGAGCTTGCCCACAAGATTAGCAAGAAACGCCTTCCCCGGATTTCTGGTATCAGGGACTCACTCCATTTGGTGACAGGCCAAAAGGAAGGCACATGCTTGCCTCCACTAGTCAGGACAAATTTGACAGGCTTCCTGAAGTCAACCTAAGTTCTTCTCACGCCCTCCCAGGAGGCAGCAGGCGCCAACACTGGGCACCTGGACAGGAGCAGCCTCCTCCGCAGGGTCCGGGCAGCCGGCTCGGCCCGGCCCGGCCCAGGGCAGCTCCCTGGCACCCCCGGGGCTGGGCCCCATTGTCAGTCCCTTAGCTGGTGCCAATCTGCCCGTCCTGTGCCTAAACGCCTGACTCCACCCTGCCCTGCAGGGAAGACTGGGAAACAGCAGCAAAAAGGGAGCATTGAGGAGTCCCATGAGGGGTGTGAAAGGAAACAGGAAAAAGCAGGAAGAACAGGGGCAGCTGGCCTCGTGCAGAGCCGTGAGCAGCGGCGGCGGGCAGGGCCCTAGCACCGGCCCCTCCAGCCCCGGCACAGGTGTGTCCACGACCACTGTCGCCACGCTGCACCCGGCCCACGTTCAGTTAAACGCTTCAATTTCCACCCCCGTAGCCCGTGCCCATCCTTGCCCATCACCTGTCCCTCCCCGGACCAAGGGCTCTGGGTCCCGCTGAGTGACCTCTTGAAACTCCTCCCTGCGGCTTCTGATCCTGCCCTTTCCCGTTTCTCTCCTGATTATCTGTCCTTTTCTTATCCATTTGTAGGAGTTCTTCTCTGTATGTTCTTCCTATTGCTTCTGTACGGCACCATTTACTATCAGAAATAGGGAGGAACCTAAAGGGGGACCCTGTAGAGTCTTCTTTTCTCCAGTTTAGAGAGTTATTTCATGGGCTGTAACCAACACACGATAATTCTGTAGTCTGAAAGCTCAGATAGGCCGGGCGTGGTGGCTCACACCTGTAATCCTAGCACTCTGGGAGGCCGAGGCGGGTGGATCGCTCAAGTCAGGAGTTCGAAACCAGCCTGAGCAAGAGCGAGATCCCGTCTCTACTATAAACAGAAAGAAATTAATTGGACATCTAAAAATATATAGAAAAAAAATTAGCCAGGCATGGTGGCGCATGCCTGTAGTCCCAGCTACTCGGGAGGCTGAGGCAGTAGGATTGCTTGAACCCAGGAGTGTGACGTTGCTGTGAGCTAGGCTGACACCAACAGCCCTCTAGCCGGGGCAACAAGAGTGAGACTTTGTCTCAAAAATAAATAAATAAATAAAAAAAATGAAATCTTGAGGTCCAGGCAGTCTCACTGGAACACACCCTGCCTGTCTGAGTATGTGTGGTCTCGGCTGCTTTTAGGCTAAAGCAGATTTGATTTGAGAAGCTGCAACAGAGACCGTGTGGCCCTTAAGGTCAAACATATGTCTTCTCCAGACCTTTGTGAAAAAAGTGGGTCGACCCCTGAGCTAGAGCCGCACGGATCAAGGTGGATACCCCTAAACATACAGGGGGATGCAAGCAATGTGCAGAAACAGACGGACGGCTGGGTGTGAGCAGACAGCCAAATGCCCACTGAGAAACAGAAACAGCAGACTCTGGGAAGGCCAGAGAAGGTGATGGAGGGGACGCTGGGGAGACACTCAGAGGAGTTACACTTTGTAACATTCTGTTTATTTAGTTGGATGATGTAAACACAGGCTTTCACTACACTGGTGATTGTATCTTCTTAGAAATCTAAAATATTTACAGGAAAAATAATAGGCCAGGTGCAGTGGCTTACACCTGTAATCCCAGCACTCTGGGAGGCTGAGGTGGGAGGATCGCTTGAGGCCAGGAGTTCAAGACCAGACTGAGCAAGAGCCAGACTCCATCTCTACTAAAAATAGAAAAATTAGCCGGGCATGGTGGTCCACACCTCTAGTCCCAGCAAATTAGGAGGCTGAGGCAGGAGAATTGCTCGAGCCCAGGACTTTGAGGCTGCCGTGAGCTGCGATGATGCCACGGCACTCTAGCTGGGGTGACAGAGCCAGACTGTCTCAGAAATATAAATAAATAAATAAAGAATCTTTAAACCCACTATTATACCTGTAAGCCCCCTTCTTTCTGAGAGTCTCTACTTTTTTGGGTTCCTATACCTATAGTATTACCTCTCATGTATTGTATTTGTGACCTTGCCCTGTAATCCTTTGTCTCTCTAAAAATGTATTAAAACTGTAACTGTTAATTCCTCTTGTCTATTACAGCGTTGAGCCCTCCCACTTGCTCAAAGGCTTCCCTGTATGCAGTTGATCTCGCTGTGTCTCATTGGTCCTAAATTGGCTCATAGAATTAAACTTTCTCTAAAATATTTTCAGCTTGGATTTTTTCCGTCCACCAAAGACCAGTACGCTCCATCAGGCTACAAAAACTAGCTGTGCCTGCACTTTTCAATTAACAAAGTGTGTATTGTGAATGTCTATCCAGTGGCACTTTTTCAAAATCATATATAGGTGCGATGGAAGCATTCCAGGTCAGAGGTCAAATAACATCGAATGGCCAGATGCCAGCGCTGGGTCTGGACCTCTTTTGTTCTCCGCTCTGAGTCGGAAAGAAATTGGCTGAAGACGCGTGACTTGCAAAGTGTGATGCCGACTCAGGGCTGTGTCAGTGTTGTGCCGGCTGATTTGACCGTCTGCTGCAGCTGTGTGTATGAGGGACGTCCTTTGCTTCTCAGAGTGTAACAGCAGAGCATGACGTCGGCAATGTAGCTGTTCTTTTCTTTTTTTTCCCTTTTGGCTGAAGACTGAGTCTCGCTCTGTCTTGGCTGGCTAGAGTGCCGTGGGCGTCGGCCTCGCTGGACAGCACCCTCAGACATCCTGGGGCTCAAGGGCGATCCTGCCTGCCTCAGGCCTCCGAGTAAGGCTGGGACTCAGGCCGTCGCGCCACCGTACCCGGCTAATTTTTTTTCTATAATACTTTTTAGTTGTCCATTAAGCTTTCTTTCCTATTATGTAGAGAGCGCGGGTCTCGCTCTTGCTCCCAACCGGCTGGTTTTCGAATTCCAATCCCCCGCCCGTCCTCAGCCTCCTCAGAGTGGCTAGGATTTCAGCGCGTGAGCCACCACGGGCCCGCCCAAAACACACATTTCTTATTCACCAGATGCATTTTTTTAACTTAAATTGTAAAGATTTAAAAAATAATACCCAGATGGGTACAGCTATGGTAATACAGACGTGCGATATAATTTGTAATTTTATTTCTACATTTAATTTATTTTTCTTTGAGACAGAGTCTCGCTTTGTTTCCCAGGGCTACGAGTGAGTGCCTGGGCGTCAGCCTGGCTCACAGCAACCTCAAACTCCCCTAGGCCTCAAGCAATCCCTGCCATGCCTCAGCCTCCCCGAGTAGTCTGGGACTCACAGGCCATCGCGGCCACCACTGTCCGGCTCAAGCTTTTTTCTATATATATTAGTTGGCCAATTAATTTCTTTCCTGTTTATAGTAGAGACAGGGGTCTCCGCTCTTATCTCAGGCTGGTTTCGAACTCCCCTGACCTCGAGCAATC